ATTGACCTGGCATCTAAACGTTTTCGAACTCTGTTCCCAACTTGAACAGGCAAGTACGGCGAATCAAATACCTAATATCAGACAGCTAAACATAAGAAAACCCATGTCCAACTTAAACCCCATTACAGGATTCTAATGACCCAATTATAATATCTGGTACTTCAAGATTTTTGTTTTAGCAATAACTTAAATAAGAGAAGAAAAGATGTACCTGAGCGGAGCAACCAGAGGAATCAGTTTTCAAGAGGGCCAAGGCACCAGAGAGGTCAGGATCAATACCAATGACCCAAGTAGAATCCGCATTGGTCCGGCTCGGGTCTTCGGCGGGAGGGCAAGACAAAGAGTCCAACCAACCCGCCTCGAGAGGAGCAGCAGAGAGCTTGAGGTTGTTCCTTGTCGTTGAGCTTGGAAGTTAGTGAGTTCATGCAGTGGGTCTGAGGAAGAAGCTGAATTTCCATGGAATATATATATATATATATATTTCTTTCAATTCAATGCCATTCTGATTCTGCTTTTGCTTCAGCTTCAGCTTCAACCCAGGAAAAATTTTGAGCACGCCAGGGGCTATTCTATATGCTTATCCAACGTCGTAAAAATTCGGTCCATGGTTTGGGGTTTTCTTCCTGGGGAAATATACCTTTTGGCCCCTGGTTTGGTTTTCATATACAATTTGAACCCTGATCTTGGGTTTTCATATATATCTCGACCTCAGGCCTTGGTTTTAAACTACAATTTGACCACCCAATTGTTTTTCTTTTACAATTTTGGCCATGGACTTTTATTATCCCACTGACTTGAATTTTGTATGCAAAAACCCTAAAATAGGTTTACTATCAATTATTAATTTTGGTTTTTGTTCAATAAAATTTACGATTTCAGAGCTCTATAAGCTCATTCATGCAACTTTGATGTTGAGTGGATCTTCGATTTCCATGAATTTCATTTATACAGCAACAACTTCATCAATTTAGCCCTGGTATTTCTTGTATAGAAGAAACGATGGTGACTTTTTTTTAGTATGCATAGCTAAGCAAAAGGCATGATTTCTGATGGCCAAAGGCGTTGCCATGTCTCCTCGTTGCTGATTTTTCTGATTCCTCCATAAAATCCATCTGCCTCGTTTCCTTCCTCTGTTCTTTCCGATGGACTGTCGTGCACCTCCACCTTGAGCCAGAGGTGTACTGATTGAACTCGAACACCACTGTGTCTGCTATCATCACTAAGATGTTAGAAACCAGACAATGACTCAAACATCAATAACTACGATGCACTCTTGAAAAATGGATGAAAGTGTGTTTCGCTAAGTCCGAAACCGAACACCTGACGGGTGCACTGATTATCCACCGAGGAATTCTTGTCTGCTTGAAGTATATTTATCTTCTTATTGCTCTCAGCTTTTTCCAAGTTGAATATGATCACCAAAACAGACCCCTTTCCCTTTATCTTTATTTTGATGGAGAAAGGATGGGAAATTAGTGCTATTGTAAGTTGCAAAAGGACAGAAAATGAATGAAAAATACACGAAGTGTAGAACGATCAATGCAGCCCCACATAGCGGAAAGATTCAAAATAAGCAAAACACACATGGTCCATAGGAGACTGGGTTCTTTCAGTGTGGTAGGCCATAAATACTCTGCCGATATAGAGGTTATCAACACGCTGGTTGAAATTACGAGCTAACGAAAGCGATCCGCCTTTCGGGACCAACGCAACAGCACAAGTCGTGAACCATGTACTGCAGAGAAAATGAGATTCATGAACACGAACTGCCCTAACTCGGTGTCCTCCATCAAAGCTAACTTTATATTAATCTCATCCACAATTTTCTTAATGCCTTCTTTCAAGAGTATTAAGCAAATCCCAAAACATCTCCTATAGAATATGATAATAGAGTATCATTTGAAAGAATAAAAGATGAGAAAACCTTACCACTATTATGGCATTGGCAACAGTTTTCGTTCCCGTCACATGATTCTAAGTGACCAACTACACCATACCACCAACCTGCAACTTATACGGCAACCGTATCAGCTATAAAATCATTATAAAATGATTAATATGTATTGTTTAAAAGAATTTGGTGGCATACTAACTGCATTGGAAGTATGTATGGTAAGAATCCTTATTATAATGAAGAACTAACCATAAGGGAATTATTTGTTTCTTCTCCATTGAATCTAAATGTTTTCACCAGGGCGTAGCTCATTCAAACAATCAGGAATATGAAGATCGTGTGATGAAGTGACGAAAGGCGATGCTCGGAGCCTTTCCCACGGCACATTGTTTTCTGTGGTCACCTTCCTCATCCCATGAGGAGGGTACCTAAATATCAATCTCAGATTAGTTTCCAAGTATCAGGCCTAATTTGATCCTCTGTAAAAAATAATTATGTTGATCTCCAATGATTACCTGGCTTGGAAAGTGTCGGTACGGGGATCATAACTCCATTCGGACAACATGAACCCAACATGGCCATTCTACATAAAGGCATGGCATTTAGAATCGAAACAAAATTGAAAAAAAAACAGCATGGAATAGGCTGGTTAAATTGGTATGGCATATTTGGAGCATCATAAATAATACCTCACTGTTATAGACCTGAGCAGGGAACCAGAATCTGCCGTTTTCAAGAGCAAGAAACCAGGACATAATCAAATCATCTGGCAATGAACACTGCTTACTACTGTCATTAACCTTTGATTGAATCCACCAAGATGGCCTAACAATTGATAAAATCCCCATCAAACCTTTTGGTTTCCCCTGTTTCAAGTTACTTGAATCCTTTCTTGTTCTTAAAGCAATATGCCATTGCCACTCTCTATAAGCAGCAGGACCAATAATTCTACCCCACTTCTTTATCATGTGCTTTTCCCAGAAATGGCCATCAACACACCTACTTCTTAAAGAGCTGCAAACACCAGCCATGCTACAAAGAGCAGCGGGTGGCAGCCTCTCAAGAATGCATTCCAAGACCAAATCTGGTAGCTCCAAAACTGACATGGCACTTTCTTCAACCTCCTCAAAGTTACCAACTTTTGAAGTGAAAGACAGCTTTTTGAGAGACATTTTGGCAAGGATTGTGGTAAAATAACCAAAACCAAGACAAAGAATGTTTTTGATCAAGCTGGAACTGGGAAAAAAGAAAAGATCTTTCCGGCACCAAGGAGACAGTCTCAGTTGCCCATGGTGGGAGTGGTTTCAAAGCTAAGGACTTCAAAATGAAGGGAAAACAAGTGATGAAGACGTGAAGTAGCATTCCAAAATATGGGGGGGGGGGGAACTGAATTCTTTTATGGGTCCAAATTCAATGATGTATGGAATAACTCAATTGGATCATTGATTTTGCATTTCAGCAATTGCCATTTGTAGCAAATTATCAATTGGATGCATAATTAAACAGATAATTTTGTTCTTTGCATTTGTTATAACATAATTTCTAGATGCCTTGGTTCATTCATAATGTAATGTCCTTGGAAAATCCACCTTAAAAAAGACAAACAGAGAAAACAATTTCAAGGCTAAGCATCATTGAACTTCAACCTATATAAACAACCCCTGCACCTCTACATATTTCACAAAACTGAGCCGAACAGAGCCTTAACCATCTCCATTTTTCTGATACACGCAATGGGTGTCACCAGTTACAGTGATGAGTACAGTTCCACAATCCCTCCAGCCAGGCTATTCAAAGCCTTGATTGTGGACTCACACAATCTCATCCCAAAACTCATGCCATTGGATATTAAAAACATCAAAATTACCGGCGACGGAGGAGCCGGCAGCATCAGGCAGATCAACTTTGCTGAAGGTGAAATAAACTACTAAACTTTCTACCCCGTATTCATCCGACACTTTCGAGCTCGATTAATCAATGTCTATACATACACTGATCAAGTATAATTATGCAGGTAGCAAAGTCAAGTACATCAAGAACCGAGTGGATGAGCTTGATGAGAAGAATTTTTCATTCAAGTATAGCTTGATTGAAGGTGATGGACTAATGGAGAAGCTTGAAAAAATCACATATGAGGTTAAGTTTGAGAGCACAGCAGATGGTGGGAGCAAAAACAAGATGACAAGCACTTACTACACCAAGGGTGAGTTGGAGATAAGTGAAGGGGAAGTTAAGGCTGGCAAAGAATAGGCCTTGGCTATGCATAAAGTTGTCGAAGGCTATCTTCTTCAGAATCCAGATGCTTATGCTTAATTAAAGGCACTAGCTCTAAGCATGTGTCTGGGTATAATTGTGTTAAATAAGGATTGGAATCCATTGATTGTAACGTATTTTCTTCCTTGAATGTATCTGTAAAACAGGCAAAAATGATTTGGTTGCTGATACAAGTCAGTGTTGTGTTTCATTTAATAATTGTTTGACTATAAGTTAATATTTTTAAATATTAAATGAATATATACATTAATAGAATTATTTAAAATCAAACCGAGTATTACGTTTTATGTATTATTGTAGTATAGTACGAGGAATTTTAAGATAATATTAATTCAGAATCAGTGACAAATTCAGAAAAATATCATTGCCGTGCCAATATTAATCTAATAAAAATATAACTCACATATATAATCTTTAAATTTAAAAATTTAATAACAACTAAAATTAGCAAAACTAAATGTTCTAAAAAGACTTTAAAATTTATATAAAAAATTACGTAATACTAAATGTAATATTTTCATCGATTAAGATGAACTTTCATTTTCATAATTTCATTGACCTTTACTTTAATATTTTTTTTTAATATGAAAGTTGATAATAATGCATACGACGTTGGAGGTGTTCATATATGGAAGTCCCCAACAAAGAGGGGAAAACGGTTTAAAAGGCAACAGAATGTCTAAAAAAACATGTTTTGGAAGGCAGCTGTTTGAGGACAATTATTAGACAGGGCTGAATCCTCAAACCCCGCCCCATCGGTCCCTCCAATTTCTACACCAAAATCCAAGTTGGTCAATCCTGTTCTTCTTCTTCCTCCGTTGAGAAATTTAACCTCAAGAACTCCCCATTCTCCCACTGCTTAAGTCTCTTTCCCCATCCCCCCCCAGGCCCCAACTTCTTCTCCTCTCTATCTCTCTCTTCCACGATGGGGAATTTATGCGGTAGCGGCGACTCCGCCGAGCAGACCGCCGATCACGGAGAGTCCGCGCCTGATAATGGCACCAACGATCCTAACAGTTCTGCCGATGAGAATGGTTCCGCCAATGCTCCAACTAAAACTTCATCCACCAATGATTCCACCAAGCCTTCCTCGAAACAGAACCCCATCGGCACGGTCCTGGGCCGGCCTATGGAGGATATTAAACAGACCTACAACATTGGCAAAGAATTGGGTAGGGGACAGTTTGGGGTAACGCATCTGTGTACACATAAGGTAAGTAGCGAACAATTCGCCTGCAAGACGATCGCCAAGAGGAAGCTTGCTAGCAAGGAGGATATTGAGGATGTTAGAAGGGAGGTTCAGATCATGCATCATTTGACGGGACAATCTAACATCGTGGAGCTCAAGGGAGCTTACGAGGATAAGCATTCGGTTCATCTGGTTATGGAACTGTGCGCCGGAGGAGAGCTGTTCGATAGGATCATCGCTAAAGGCCATTACACCGAGCGTGCCGCCGCTTCGTTGCTTCGGACCGTCGTTCAGATTGTGCACACTTGCCATTCTATGGGGGTCATCCATAGGGATCTCAAGCCTGAGAATTTCCTGCTCTTGAACAAGGAAGAGGATTCCCCTCTCAAGGCCACGGATTTTGGTCTATCAGTGTTTTACAAGTCGGGTTGAGTTATTTTTACCCACCCTAATCTGCTTTCTTTTGTTTTGATTCCTCGGTGATTCCCTCAGTTACATTATATTTTGATATCCCGGCTTGTTGGAACAGGTGAAGAATTCAAAGAAATTGTTGGTAGTGCATATTATATTGCACCTGAAGTCTTGAAGAGGAAATATGGACCAGAAGCAGATATATGGAGCATTGGAGTTATGTTGTATATTTTTCTATCTGGTGTTCCTCCCTTCTGGGCTGGTAAGATACTATTCATTCTCATCTCCTGGTATTGATCACCAGAAATTTGAAGCATAATTCTGTCGATATATAGAATCCGAAAACGGGATATTCAATTCGATACTACGCGGCCACATCGATTTCACGAACGATCCATGGCCTGCAATTTCACCTCAAGCGAAGGAGCTTGTGAAGAAGATGCTCAACATGGATCCCAAACAGAGGTTAACAGCAGTGCAGGTTCTAAGTAAGTACGGCTCAATTCTGTTGTGCTTTTAAATTCAGTACATGTAATTGTAAGGTTAATATGGCCATGGCCATTAACAGGTCATCCATGGATCAAAGAGGACGGCGAAGCACCTGATACACCTCTGGACAATGCTGTGATTTCTAGGCTCAAACAGTTTAAAGCAATGAACAACTTCAAGAAAGTTGCTTTACGGGTACTATTAATGGAATCCCGATCTAATCACCTCAATGATTAGACTTTCCGAGAATCCTTCTTTTCAAATTTTCCTGGGAAAAAAAACAATCTGGTGCAGGTCATTGCGGGATGCTTATCGGAGGAAGAAATCATGGGGTTGAAGGAGATGTTCAAGGGCATGGATACCGACAACAGCGGGACCATAACACTAGAAGAATTGAAACAGGGCCTTTCTAAACAAGGAACAAAACTCACTGAATATGAAGTTCAACAACTAATGGAGGCCGTAAGTCATTTCCAAAACACCAATTTCATCTTTCCTTTGAAGTAATACATGAGATTAACTCATGGTTTTTCTTTGAAAAACATGTATATAGGCCGATGCAGACGGGAACGGAACCATAGATTACGAGGAGTTTATCACGGCAACGGTGCACATGAATCGAATGGACCGGGAAGATCATTTGTACCATGCCTTCCAACACTTTGATAAAGACAATAGCGGGTAATGAACATAAAATCCAGTTTCCAAATCTTATAAATTCGTTTGTTCGACATAAAATCTTACGTTCTTCCATGGTTTTAGTTACATCACGACCGAAGAACTAGAGCAAGCTCTACGTGAACATGGAATGCATGACGCAAACCTAAAGGAAATCCTTTCTGAAGTTGACGCTGACAATGTAAATAATATATATATTCTATTTTTAAAGGAAACCCAAAACATAGAATTTACAAGATTTTGACATATTTTTACAGGATGGAAGGATCAACTATGATGAGTTTGTGACCATGATAAGAAAAGGAAATCCTGAAGTGCAGAAGAGACGTGAGTTGCAGGTTGATATTGAGACTGAAGAATGAAGATAAAATATAACACAAATTCTTGTGATCTCTCGATCACTATCAAGAGAAAAATTGGGAGAGGATGTGACAATATTTAGGACACGGTTTGAGGTTTTTTCATTCTTTATTTTAATTTTTTGAGTTTGATGGGGATTTGAGAATTTATAAAAATTGATTGATTTTTTTGTTATAAAAATAGTACGCTAATACGAAAAAAAATTAATTTTAAGTGTTACGTTTATTGTAACCGCATAAATCAACCGAATTAAATTCGAATTTGATAATAAACTTTTATTATTAATCGTGTTTATTATTTCTTTTGTAATCATTATTAATAATTTAAAGACTTTGTTTATACTACGATTTGGATATCTTACAATCGTATTGGACCTCTATCTTTTCGGTTTTGATTTTATAAGACGAAAAAATATTAGAAAAATATGATATTATCGGAGGAAATTATAGGCTTAGATGTGTGTAATTTATTTGTGAAAAAATGTCATGAATCGTTAAATTAAATACTTTTACCGTGATTCATTTTATTATTAATTAAGTTATTATTTGAAAAACTAAATAAATCATTATTCTTTGTGGATCAACAACATAACATTTTAAATAAGAGATAAGGATGGAGGAAGGGATTAACGTGGGAATGTGTTTTCCAATGATACACAAAATGTGGTAATATCTGAACAGATAATTAACTTAGGGGTTGTTTCTTTATTTCAGAATGATTAAGCGCTGAATGATTCAAATATTGAATGATTCAGAGGCTCTATATGAATTAGCTCTGAATGTGACATGTTGTTTGATAATGGCTCTGAATCATTCAGAATGTACTTCTGTGCCGAATCATTCAACACTGTTTTGCTGAATCAATCAGCATTGAATCATTCAGAGATGAGAAACAGACACGCTGAATGCTGAACGGTTCAGCATTCAACGCTGAATGGTTCTATTCAGAGCCAAACAAACAGCCCCTTAATCGTGTTTTAATTAATTACACACATTTCTCATGAAACTTAGTTGATCAAAGAGGACAAACAACCATAAACTCATATAAGATTTTAGGGTTTCTTTGATTTGGGGTTATTAGAGGGAACCCTAAAATTCAAATAAATAATCGCGTATGATTGTTAGTTTAAGGGTTCGAATCATGACGATTGTGAATTGAGAAAACTGTGTTGAAAGGGTCTCCCTTGCCTCTGCAATATCCAATCTGGATTAGTCGATCAATAGATCGGAGACCGGTGGTTATATCAAAAAAAAGTTTGACTTCAAATTAAAAAAAAAGGTTAAAGTGTTAAATTTTGGACGAAATAATTTTGTCGTCCTTTTGTTATTAAAATAAGTAAAGACACTAGGGATGGCATGTAACATCCCAAATCTGGGTTAGTGACTAAAATGAGAATTTTTGAAATTTAGGGATCAATTTAGGAAAATTGAAAAGTTTAAGGATTTAATAAGGATATTTCATTATTGGATTAAATAGTAAATATGAAAGGATTATAAGGGTATTATGGTAATTTAGTTTGAAAGATATTTTATCTCCCTTATTTAAGCAGATAATACGTGGGAATAGAGATATCTGGAAGCTTTCTTTCTTCTTCTTGTTTTCTTCTTCTCGTGGGTTCAAGCTCAAGTCTATAAGGTAAGTTTGCTTCAGTTGGTTAATTTCTTGAATTTATAAGTTGGGATGGAGTATTTGGGTATTATATAAGCTTAAGGTAAGCTTATATAAGCTTAAAACATTAAGCAGAGAAAATTTGATTAAGGGTTGAGAAATGAATTCTTGATTTAAAGAGGTTTTTGAAGTTCTAAGGATGGATTTGACTTGTCAAAGGATTAATTAAGAAGTTAGAGGTGATATAATTGAATTTAAAACACATGGAAATTTTGATGAAATTCTTTGATTCAAGAATTATGGTGAATTATAAGATATGGTGAAGTGTTATAGTATTATAAGAAGGTTTAAATATGTATGGATAAGTTTTAAGGTATAAGGAGGGATTAATAAGTAGAATTTGGGGTTAAAACAATACATTTTTGGGCTCAAAATGTAATTTATGGGTTGTGTGCATCGATGCACTCTCAAATAAATAAACATCGAGTACAGTTGGTGCATCGATGCATCCCCTTAAAATGGAAACATGGAATGTAAATTGTGTATCAATGCATGGTAGTGCATTGATGCACAAGTTAAAGAATGCATCGATGCACTGTAGAGTGCACCGATGCACTTCAATGGGAAATGGAATAAATATTTCTTCCAGTCTAAGAAATTATAGATTATAGTATATCAATGGGATATTGATAGTATATATATATGATTGTGTAGACATCGATCGAAAGCAAAGTTCGGATAGGTCGACAGAGTAAGATACGCAAAGAAAACAAGAGCTTAAGAGTGTTCATTGAGACCAGGTGAGTATATGATAGTAAGTGTACATTATGTTAAGGAATTAAGACTTGCGATGAGTCAAATTCCGATATTACATGATATAAGTACTAAAGCATAAACATGTAGTGATATGGTGTTAGATGTATGGTATATGAGTAAATGTATATGTTTAATTGTTGAATGCATTTTTATGTGTGAACGATGTAAATGCCTGTATTTATAATAATAGGTCATGTGATTATGAGATATATGATAAAATATATGTGAAAATAATATGACTCATATGTGCTTCTATTAGAATGCTATATGATATGTTATGTATGTGAAATGAATGTCATGAATACATGTTAGTATATTAAGATAGATTGGATGTTATAATTGAATGAAGGGATTGTATGAGAACGTGTATATGTGAATATGTGTTGTATGATAGTGATCTATGAGATATTGATAATAAGACATAAGATTACATGCATATGTAATATAAGTTAAAAGATAAGAAATAATATGTTATATGCATATGAGAAAAATGTATATGTGAACTATGTGAAATGGGATAAAGAACTATGTGATGTGACCATATGTGAAAAGGATGAATAATGTGAATTTCATGGAAAATGCTACGTGAAAGTAAACTACGTGATAATGTGATATGAATATGTGAATGTGTAATGAGGTAAAAGATAATGCTCATGTCATGTGTTATGAGAGCTATAGGTATAGTTGGCATGCCAAGAGTCGAGGGTCTACGCGGTCCTTCGGGACATAGTGGTCCTTCGGGACATAGTGGTCCTTCGGGACATATGTGTTATATGTGGTCCTTCGGGACATCTACGTGGTCCTTCGGGACAAATTCTACGCGCCCCTAATGGGATTTATACGAGTTGTGGTGACAGCATTATGCACAACCTCTATGTACTCACATACCTTAAGTTCTTAATAGTATGCATGGGCTTTGAAAAGAAAACATAATTTGATATAATGATATATGTGTTTCTCTGGAAATGGTATATGTGATATGTGACATGTATAAGTGATAAGTTAGGATCATATGATAATAATGGTAACAAGTGCATATGTGTAATGGTTATATGAAATGCTATGTGGTTATGTATGATATGATCATAGTAATTATTCATTTATTGTGGTGTTTTGTAGTTATATTATATGATTGGTTCTATAAGTACGTAATTATGATATGTATTATATGACAACTGCATGTATTTGTTAGGTTACATTGTGCCTTTACATGTCTCACTAAGTCTATGACTTAGCGTGTAAGTGTTTTACACGTATGTGTGAAAAGTCAGAAGATCAAGCTTCAGATTCGTAAAGCAGCATACCTCTACGCAAAGTTCAGATCAGAAATATTTTGTAAAGTATGTCTTGTCATATAAATTAGTATGTTGGCATGTAACTAAGTCATGATATATATGTACGCTCTGATGGAGTCTGTTAAGGTTTTAAATATGTTTTTGTAAAAGAATTACTTTATAGAATAAAAGTTTTAAATTTTCTATGGTTTTTATAAAAGTATATACTTTGACTGGTCAATGTGACACCTCGGACTCGTATCCGAGTTGGGTACAGGTTGGGGGTGTTACATGGCAAATGGGCGGGTCGGGTGCGGATACCCCCTCCCCCATCCCCATATCCACATAATATTTTTCAATCTACCACCCGCCCACCACTCATGATGGGTAAAAATTTTTAAATCCACACCCGTCCACGCGGGTATATTCTCAAATTCATCCCCACACCCACTACCCAACTAGAGATGTACCCGGCTAGACCCGCTTGACAGCAAACTTAAGTTATACATAAGCAACAAACACATAAATAAAACTAGTACTTACTCATTTTGCCCGAAACTGATATCAAGTAGTCTAAGCTCCATTTCATTCCCAATTTAGTACGTTTCCACAGTTTCGATAAGTATTGATATGTTCCAACCAGTATCAATGAATGCAGATTGATATAAGATTTCTACATTTTAACTAAAAAAACGAGTATTTTATTATGCAATCCCTTCCAATATCCTAAGACAATGAATCCTTTATACCAAAAAACACCACAAAATCCAACATCATTTGAAGATCGACAGAAACTTGATAGTAACAGATGAAACTGAGAAATACGTAATACCCAGACTGCCTTTGAAGATCGACATAGTAATGACAAATGAGAGGTTTGAAAGGAAAAAAAATTATGCATAAACTTAACTTATTCCTAATATTTGGTTAAATAACAAGTTATATCTTATACAATATTAGGATTTATAAATTAGTCTCTAAAATTACACCTAAATTTATAATGGTCCAAAATGTAATAGATATTTAGCTGGGCGGGCGGATGCGGGGCGGGTAAGGTGTCAAACCCATTACCCGCCCACTACCTGCGACAGATACCACTTTCTAAATCTAAACTCGCCCATTACCCACTAAAATTATACCCATCCCCGGCCCGATTGGAGCGAATGCGGTGCGAAATCCACAAAATTGTACTCGTTTGTCATCCCTAAAAGACACTCGTAAGTCAAAAAAATAAAAATAAAATCACGTTTCACTAATTATTCGTATGAAATATTCTTTAATAAGGAAATTTTAACTTCAAATTATTTAAAGGAAAATCAACTTTGTTATTATCATTCACTTAATAATTCACTACAACTTAAAGAAAAAGGTTTAATTTTTTTGTTTTGTTACCCAATATTATATACATACGATTAAATAAAAAAAATGTAAATTCTAATGATTGAAACTATTTCCTCTCAAAAATCTTACGTTACTTAGAGCTGATATTATCAAATCCATCTCAAAATTATAGATTTTAAAATCACCATAAAGAAGTATTAATTTAATCTAAGATGGGATGAATAAGTTATTAAGAACAAACAAAGAGCCAGGTCAAGCGACAAACAAAATTTCGCAACCATTAAACAATAACAATAATAGTAGTTAGTAGGATCCTATGGTCTCTTCTAGTCCTCATTGACGTTACACTTTTTGGTCACATGTGATGTGGTTTCTTCATTTTGCACAAGTCATAAGGCTTTCTGCATCTTTTCCTAAGCTGAAATGTCGACGGCAGAAGAAGATAATCTAACCGGTTCCCATCAAATGTTATATTCTTCCGACGGGTAATAGCTATTTCGCTTACACCAACATAAATACTGGGGCGTCGGTGCGTCTTCTCGCATAACCCAAGAATGCTCTGCTACATCATTCAAAGTCATCCTCTGTTTTGGGTCTGAAAAAAAATGTTTGCATTTCCAGAACCACAAAGAATATCACACAACTATGTTAGAAATACATGGCGGGGGCAAGTGATGAACATTAGTGTTGGGTATAATGGATCCCAAGCTCAGAGAGAACGATTTCACTAACCTTTGCAGAGAAGGCCTTCGAGTAAGTTTCTCAACTCCGGGTTCATGTCATTTGGCAGAATTAGTGGGTTATTAACAATCTGCAGAAAGAAAATATGAGCCATGTTGTTGTTATTGGGTGTGAGGGAGAAGGAAAAGAAAAGAGGAACTGGAGACAGATTGAGCAAATTCCATACCTTGTCATATGTATCTTGTAGCGTTTCACCAAGAAACGGATATCGTCCAAGTACCATACAGTACAAAGTAACTCCTAGAGCCCACGTGTCTGCAGCTTTTCCATTGTATGTTAAACCTGTTGATCATTTTCAAACACGGTAAAAATAAAATCATATTCTGTTCTCAAATTATTTCTCCAAAACTAGAGAGCATAGTCTCAGCTAACAGAGTGAACCCTGACCTAGACAGCACTCAGGTGCAGTGAAAACAGGAGTCCCGGGAGAACGGCGAAGCTCATCATTATCATCCTGAAAACAAAATTTTGTAAAACTTGCTTTCCAACCAAATAACACCTAACAAGGATAAATTCAGTTAAAATTTCCGACCAAAACAATTTTAAATAGGTATCAACCACATGAACCTTTTATGCACCAAGCTTATTACTTTAATTGCAAGTAGCCACTAGCCACCTATCAAGTTCATGTGCATGACCCTATTCAATTGCATGTAACCTAGCTCGCATATGAAGAAGAGCATATTCACAAAATTTGTCATTTAGATTATATTATATTGAGCTCACAATTACACAACACAAACACGACACAGGAAAAATAATTAAAACACTGCGAAAACTGAACACGACACAAAAAAACAGCACAAACACTTCAGGAATACGCGAACAAGCTAAAATCCATACAACATAACCTTAAACACGATTATGACATGAAAAGGACAAAAACAAGGGATAAAGATAACACAACACAAAAATAGCATAAATACACCAACGTTCCAAAACCCATACAAAAACCTTGAACACAATTATGACATGAAAAGTACAGAAAAATGACACAGTTACACTAAATGCCAGGTCTAAAATGATACAGTAAAAAAGCACAATATAAAAAGAGGCTTATCCAGAGAGAGAGAGAGAGTCCGTTAAGAGGAAGTTTATGAGTGTAGTATCATTACCTCAAACACCTGGCTGACACTAAAATCTCCTATCTTCACAGTACCCGTTCCAGTAATCAACAAATTATCAGGTTTTATATCCCCATGCACAATATTCTGTTTAAAAAAAAAGATCCAAGTAAGCACAAGTAACAGATTATTTTATTATATAGTGCAGCAAACAAGAATATGGATATAAAAAGTAAAGTAAATGGGAGCATGCGAAAACTTTCCATTCTAGTAGAATTAAGGATAAAGAAGCAAAATTCTAGGAAAGAAAATTGCACGGCTGACAGCACACAGAAAAATAGAAGATTTCAAGATGAATAAATTTAATCAATGAAATATCAAAAGGCAGAACATCAAACATGCAGGGACATACTGCAATATACATCATAGATATCACAATCCACAACTAGCTAACTCTCTTCTTCAGGAAGTTGCTTTAAGCTGACAGCCTTAACTCTTTAAGTATTGTGTTTGTGTTTACACAAATATGAACAAACAAGGAAAAACAGAAAACAAGGGGAAAAACCTATGGTCATGTTAAGAAAAAAACTTCATCATATTTATCTAAAACAGGAACATATAACACACAAATGACAAAACACACGACCTTAATAGAGGACTGGGAAAAAATTAAATACTGCACAAAAATTGGGTTTTAAATCATACATGAGCATGGAGGTACATAAGCCCAGATACTATATCTCGCACATATTTCCTAGCAGTCTCTTCTCCAATGCCTCCTCGAGGACCAGAATCCTCACAAGCCCATTTGCCTTCAACATATTCAAGAACTAAACAAAAAGAAAGGCCGATCCAATCAGTCTTTAACCACATCACTTGATAGAGAAAAATAAGAAAAAAAAGAAACATAAATACCCATGTAGAATTGATCCATTGCTGGGTCATCAATCACCTCAATGAGATTAACTATATTGGGATGTTCCAAAAATTTCATGATTAGAACCTGAAGGGAAATGGATGAGAGAAATATGGTCAAATAAAAAAAGGTACTTCACATGACAACAGTAGATTACAAAGGTAGCTGTCCACAAACTATCAATCCCATACCTCACGAAGAACATCAGTCATTGCAGTCTCTGACGGACCAACCCGCAACTTTAATAAATGAGACTTATGAAAGGCCTGTAGTTCAATGTAAAAAGAATTCATTACTGAAAGGAGAACTTAATTTCGCATAAATTGTACTAGATCCACAAAACACAACCAAATTTAACCTATAAGAACATATGGAAAAAAATATTTCTTGAATTTTAAAAACTATGCTGCCAAACAAATAAATGAAACTGAATTGCCTGAAAGCATTTGTGCTCAATTGTTCCACTGAAACAAGCTACTAACCTTAATAGCATAGTGTTTCCCGTCTACATCGTTTTGATAAAGAACCTGCCACAAAAGCAAACAAAATAGTTAACATTTGAATCTTTTATGAAAATTACGTAAAAAGTGATTTTCCAACAATATAGTTACCACTTTCCCATAGCTGCCAGAACCAATCTTACATTCCCGTACATACTCATTAATCATCTTATTCCCATTTTCATCCTGAAAAAAATGACAAACAATGAAATGAAGATTACTGATATAATCACAGAATAAAGAAACAGGAAAGATACTTAACATGCTGGAAACACATCCACAAGAAAACAATATTAACATACACAATAGCATTTTGTGACTACGAGATGAAATAATTCATATCAATGCTTGCCTCAGAGCGTATAATCATGTTGGTTTCCTTGACAGGATACTGCCTGCAAGTTAATCCATTGTTAAGTTTGAACCTCAAAATCTCTTCAGAACGCTTGCCACGGCCTAGAGGCTCAGCCTCGTCTCCAACAGCAGTGCTGGTAACATCACCATTATATGAGCAATCATCATCTTCTATTTCTTCATCTAACAAAATTTCCTGGGACAGTTGAAAATTTGACCTGCAATTGGGCCTAGCAGATTGTTTGGGCTTAGTTGTGAAGCCAAAGCAACCAAAACAGCCCATTGCCCTAACAAATGAAAAGCTGTTACTTAACATTAGAACAACTGAAACCTTGAAAGTTGTAAGTTACAAATGAAGAACGATTCTTGAACCTGCAAGGAGAACATAACCGCCTATCAAAAAATTGACTATAGAAGTTTCAGGCTAATATAAAAATTAACTTAAAGAAACATACACACTACAATAAGAACAAAAGGTATAAAATAAAACGTAATAAAGAGGGAAAATCGAATTGAAAAAAATACCTGATTTAAAAAATAAAGAACAATGAAGGAGGGCTTGAAGCCCTAATCAGCTTTACTGCTCCAAAGGATGCCATTCAGCTAAATGAAATGAACAACTTTCAACATCAAAGCCACAACGATCGACACCCAACATCGCTATTCGCTAAACCTCCAGTTTTTTACGTTTACCTTCTTCTCCCAATATTTTTCCCAAATATCTAAGAAAACATGAATAAAAAGCTTAATTTCGAATTTGATTTAATCCGTAAAAAATAGACGAAACGGGGGAAAAGAAATTACAAATTTCAAAGTCGAATAGAAAATTTGATTAACCCGAGGAATTTGAATCTTGGATCCCAGGTATGATTTCGGTCTCTGCTTTTCCAAATCTAAACACGAATCAGAGAAATCGAAACTTCGAATTCCCAACGGTTTCCTCGCCTTGCTTTTGCTTTTGGGGTTCAATTCAAGAAGCGAGGAAGGCGACGTGTATCGACAAAAAAAAAACAACAACAACAGAAACGAATTTTTTTTTCTCTTTTTGAAAAATGTGGCTCTTTTATATTTTCAAGGATTTTTTGGTCATTACATTATAAATATTAATTAAATAAAAAATGAAGGAAAAAAACTTTTGTTTAGTTTGATTATCCTAACACCATCTGTTTGATACATGTTAAAAACCATATTTCAAATTGGAACACGAAAATTTAAATATAATCATCGTTGAATCGCCTGAATTGTTAACTATTTATAGGTTATAACCACATCATATATTATCAAATGGAATCAATACTCTTTATATATATATATTTAATTACCAAAACAAGTGTATAAATTATACCAATAAGTGTCTAATGTTAATTATTTAAGTGTACGGACTGTCAACGACGTTAATTTCTTTGTTAAGTGACATGTGTCATAATATAATATTTTTAAAAAATTTATTAAAAAAAGAAAATAGAATTATATGTATCATAACTTTTTTTACGAATTAAAAATTAAAAATAATAATGACTTTATTTTGAAAATTTGAGATTTTTGTTTAATTTAAAAGTTAGAGTTGTCATCAACCTTTGGGTTAGGCATGTTGAATACATAATAAATGTCGTTTAAAACAATTTTAAGAAAATTTATTTTAAAGACGAAAATTGGTTTGTGTATACCAAAGATTCGGTTTTAAGGATTCAGGAGTCGATTATGCGTGGGAAATGATTAGCACTCCATAACACTCAGAATTGGTACCTTCAATTATATGTGGTATAAAATGGTGGAATTTTACGAATTTGAATTCAAAACTTAAATTATGTTCCTTCTATTTCTACAAGTTTAAAAATGAGTGAATCCTTTTTTTTAAAAAGTATTTGACTCAATGAAAATAATATAATTCACTTGATTTTATTTAAAAAGGATGTTCTCTTTCTACACGAATTAACGAAAATTGAAATTCAATCATGTTAGACGTAATTTCGTTAACCCAAGATACAAGACAATAATACCTTCAATTGTTTTAGAAAACGAGAAATCAAACGCATAATTCATGAAAACAACACTAATAAATTATATGCGCATGATGGATGAAATATCAAACATATGACAAGTAAATAAAACAAAATAAAATAATGACAAATAACTAAATAGAATGAAACAATGATATAATAATAAATAACATAAGTAAATAAAACAACCTAATGATAAAAATAAATATTTATTTACTATAATTAAAAAGGAAAAATGCATATAAGAATATATCTTTAAAATTGAACAAATATATATATAATTTTTTAATATAAATAACAATTAAACAAATATAGAATATCCAAATTTATTTGAATAACCCTCAAAAGGACACTCTAGATTTTTAGAGGTCTTTCATAAGTTAATCGAATAATTAACAAAAAAAATCCCATAAAATTTTATAGTACTAACAATAGCATTTTTTATTAAACATAAGTATATAATTAAGTATTCAAAAACATCCCCTTTAAATAAAATATAAGTCCATATAGAAATATTTAAAAAAAAACATACATAAATATATACGAATGGGATAATAAAAAAAAATCATGCAATAATATAGGGACCAAGTTAGAACAATAAGAAAATTACAGAAGGCCATCAAAGTAATAATCCATATTAGTTCATGAAGATTCAACTAAAACGGAGACCAAAATAAATACACGGTGAAACTACAGTGACCAAAATTGTAAATCATGCATATTTTAACGTGTAATGATTTGAGGACTAATATGAAATAAATCAAAAATCAGCAATCAAAATTATAAATTTACCCCAAACACAGCATCATGTAATTGGTGACTAAAATGTAAACGTAGCAAAAACTGAAGCTTGGAATCAAAAATTAAAAGTTGCATTTAGTGACTAAAATAAAGTGGTTACAAACATTGGATGGCTCATTGTGGATTTACTCATGCGCTGGAGTCTAGAAACCGTAGCCTCAAAACAACATGGTTTTGATGGAGCTATAAACACCCTATTTTCCCTTCACTTTCCATTTCATCTTTCCCTTTTTTTAGAAACAAACATTTCTCTCTTCTCTTTCTACTTGGAGAATCGGTGAGTTCTCCGATCGCGAAAGCCGCTTTTGATATGTGGTGTCGTCGCTCATCGGCATTGGAGAGGGGAGATAAGGGCATTGATCGAAGTGTTTTGACCTCCCAATCAAGGTCTAGGCCCCGTTTGGTATAAAAATACCTCCAACTCTATAGATCTACAAATAAACCCTCGACTCTTTTAATTTCCGGCAACTCTTCCTCTTTCCGGTGACAACGTTTCAAAAAGGTAAGGTTTTCTCTTTTTTTTCGAATGTTCTCTATTTTTTGGTTCGATTTCTATCTTTCTTTTCTCTCTCTTTTTTTTGTTCGAATTTGCTCTCCTCTTTTGGCTTATTTTTTTCTTACTCCAATCACCCTCTTCTCTCTGTTCAAGTCCTCTTTTTAATATGTTGTTGGGGTTTGGTAATGCGCTTTTCGTTATTTTTAATTGTTTTTTTATTGATTTGTCTTTTTTCCATTATTTGCTGAGACGATGATGATGGGCCGGCTAAAATGATGGCGTTGGTGAGTGTCATAAGCGGCAACGTCGGGATAGGCTAGGCCTAGGCTGTGACGACAGCAGCTGAGGGCTTCAGCTTAGGCGGTGGCGCAGCAGGTGGCTAAGGCTTTAGGCGACGATGGCGTAATAGGTGGCTAACCCTAAAATTAGGGTTAACCAAAGTTGTAACACAATGGGCTTCACTTGTTGGGCTTGCCGGGTCACTTGTAATTTGGGTCTTGTTTTGTAACATGAAAATAAAAAAGAACAATTACGAAATGAACAAAAACGGGTGTCTACATCTTTTAAAGAAAAACATAAATATTTTTAAAAATAACCTCATGCTATGAAAATTTTCATTTCAACCCTTAAACTTACGTCGATAATCGTCTTTTGTCGTCAACAAAGTTTCACCGACCTCATCTTCCTCTGACGACTAAAATCCTCATGAAATCGTTATCGATCAACAATAAATTAACGTTTTATACCCACAAACCCTAAGATAAAAACTGTAATCTCATGCGATCTCGACAGCAATTACTACTGCATATGACTAGGAAGATGGTAGAGATTATGTCGATGTCGGTGGTTGTGATTAGAGATGACAACAGCGGGGTGAAGGTTAGGATTTAGAGATTTTGGGTACTTTGTGGTTTTTTTATAATTTAATAGAAATTAGTTTTTTTCTAAATATACTAATATTTAAAAAAATAAATTTTAAAAACATCAGATTGTGACATGTGTCGTTTAACGGAAAAAATTAACGTCGTTAATAGCCTGTATACCTAAATAAATAATGTTTGTTAGGCACTTGAATGTGTCAAAAATAGTTTAAATACTTATTTAGAAAATGTGATATAATTTAAACACTTATTTTAATATTAAACTTTATATATAATATAACTTCAACGCATCTTAGATCAAATCAATCATTATCTAATTAGGAATATTGATAATTTTTTAAACTCACGATATTAATTTATGATATTGTAATAAAATTTAACTATAATTATTGTCGAATGCCCATAACAATCGATCTGAGTCGAATGTATTTTAATCATGAGTTTAAAAACTCGTATCACCTAATTTCAAATAAAAATCAGATTTAATCATATTAGAGTTCATTATTAAAAGAATATATATATTTATTTTAAATATTATTTTTGAATAAAATATTTGATCAGTAATTATTGTTTGAAATAGTGATAACAATATGTTTATTAACGTAGGAATCAGTACTACACTATTAGTTATCAGTTATCATTGCCTTTGTAACTCACAAATATATATTAAATAAATGAAACATAACTTTTTCTTTTCCAAAAATTTTATAATAATTTTGATGCGCGATAGCCGCCAGTTCCTATTCTTTTTTCGATTATGTTTTGATTGGTTAACATTTCCACTACTGAAGAATTAAAATACAAGCGTAGAAAGAAAAACAAAAGAAGAAAGCAAACAATTCAAGTACTCGACGTCTCTGTTTCTCTCGTCGAGTGAATGAATCAAGCATGGACGTTGTCGGAGTGTTGGCTTTACAGGGATCTTTCAACGAACACATAGCGGGCAATGATATATTCCGAATGCTTTGTTGATGAGTTTTCATGTTTGGCTGAAAACCTCATATTATGCTGTATTATTTGCTTTTTGCAGCGCTGAGGAGGTTAGGAGTGAAAGGAGTGGAGATAAGGAAGCCGGAGCAGCTTCAAAGTATCAGCTCTCTTATAATTCCTGGTGGAGAAAGCACCACCATGGCTAAACTTGCTGAGTTTTACAATCTTGTATATTCTCTCTCTTCAGTTTTTTATATATGTATTTGTTTTTCCCCATAAACAATTCAGGTCCTAAAAAGCATGGAAGATCCGAAAAGCTGTTTCGGTTTGGTTTGTTGTTGCTTGCTTTTGCTAGTAGTTGAGGCAAAAAACAAATGCTAAGATTCGAGATCATTTTGGTTAAGAATGAGTAAATGATTAGAATGAAGTAGTAATTCAAACGAAGATAATTGCAACTCTGGCGTTTTTTTATTATGTGTATTTTGAGATGCTTTGATACCTGCGATTGACTTTTTTGATCTATGCAAAAGGTTTGAATGAGTTCGACATTGTTAGATCCTTTGATGGATATATAGCCGAAGGCTTTGCTCATAAATAAAATAATTGCTAAACCTAACTCTGATTTGAGTTCATAATTCTTATAGTGTGCAAATGAGTTATTTGCAAAGACTGGCTGACCAAACAGCTTTTCTTGTTTCCTGTGTCTCTCCTTTGCAAATGTTTGGTTAATAATTCTCATTTCTGGTCAGTTTCCAGCACTGCGTGAGTTTGTGCAAATGGGGAAGCCGGTTTGGGGGACTTGTGCAGGTCTTATATTTTTGGCAAACAAAGCTGTTGGTATGTTCTGTTTGGGAACCGTATACAATATTTTGCACCTAGCAATTTACCAAAAAGATTATTCAAAAGCATTTGAATTTGAAATTGTGCAACCTTTTCAGGACAGAAAGAAGGAGGGCAATTCTTAGTCGGGGGTCTGGATTGCACCGTCCATAGAAACTACTTTGGGAGTCAGGTACTAACATATGCCTTCTATGATGCTTATAAACTGTATTGCACTGCTTAGTTGAACTAGGCTTTCGCCAGAAGCTGAATTGTTATTAGTTAATAAAGAGACATCCATTTAGTATAATGGAAATCCAGAAAAAATGCAAATTTTCCATGTTTCGTAACCGGTATTTTAAGATATAAATGTGTTCTTTAGAGAAATACCACTCACAGAACATGGGTCCAAAACCTAAAATGATTGTTGGATTAGTTAAATGATTACTGGCATGATGATGCAATAATGTTGCTATGATGATGTTGTATGGATATACTGAAAATGTCTGTCAGATGGGTAGGGGATGTTTGGAGGAGTCCAAGATAGAGCTTGCTTTCACTAACTTCACTAGGATACGGTAGTTGAATTCTATATTATGACAAAAGGCTTTGCATGTTGGTGGTGGTGTTATTACTTGAAGATGTCAACTTTTTCACCATTCCCATTTATACTGATAAATTTGGTTAAACAGATTTGGCGACTAAAAGAACTGAAATGTAGACGTTAAGTCGTTAAGAAAACAGTGACAAATCAGAATTCTGTTTTGTGAATAAATTGATACGGTTTTATGTAGCTTAACACTTTTGTTTTCATATATCTAGGATGTAGAAACCTCTTTCACTTACTGAAATCAATTTTACAGTAACAAAGAAGATTTCAATGCCCCCCCATGTTTCCCGATTTGTTTTAAGCTTCTAACATTGAACTAAATTGTTTCTTTTTTAACAAACCAAATTTTATTTAGCTCCAAAGCTTTGAGGCAGAGCTTTTAGTGCCAGAACTTACATCCAAAGAAGGTGGCCCTGAGACATTTCGCGGTGTTTTCATCCGTGCTCCTGCCATCCTTGAGGTGGGGCCAGAAGTTGAAGTGCTTGCTGATTATCCTATCCCATCAAATAAAGTGCTATACTCGAGTTCAGATGTTGAAATTCAAGAGGTATATCGACACTCTTTCTATTGAATTCTTCATTGCTATAGTCGAACATGAAACAATAAAATTTTATGCATACCTTTAACTAAAGGAGTCCAGATTTGTTAATCATGCTTTCATCTCTCTGTTTCCGGGTCTTTAACTTCATCTTCGATTCTTGTCATAATTTTTTTTTGGGTATTTCAGGAGTCTGCTGTGCCTGAAAAGAAAGTAATAGTTGCCGTGAAGCAAGGAAAATTGCTAGGAACTGCTTTCCACCCTGAGTTGACTGCAGACATCAGATGGTATGAATATGTTAGCCTTTAATTAAGTTCTTCAATTTTGCTTATGATCTCATCTGAGGTTTTAACTGTTTCTCATTTTTGGTTGCCAAGTAAAAGTGGTAAATGGTTTGTTTGTTCAGGCATAGTTACTTTCTAAAGATGGCAAGCGACCTCAGAGGGGCAACCTCAGATGACATTGTTGCAGTCAGTGAAGCAGCTTCAAGTTCTGACCCACAAACGAAGTATGATCTTCCAATATTCTGATAATCCCCAGTGTCAAGGAGATTATTTCGGGTCTTCTTCAATTTCTTTCCCTTTTCCTTTCCTTTCCTTCCCCCATTTTGTTTTCTCCTCATCACTTATAGTGTCTCCATGTTTGTGGACGTTTCATCTTCTATTTCAAAGGCAAAGCCTATTTGACAAGTACCCTTTGCTCTTTTTAGGTGACATTTGCTCAAATGACAGACCTATTTACCCACTGCTATATATTGGTATATTTTTCAGGAAATAGTTTCTATGACCAAAAGGCGTATACTCTGTTAAAAGATGCATATGCAGAAATGCCATTGAAGTTAACGCTGCACTAATGTTTATTTTTCCAGTGCTGGCAAGAACATATTTCTTGTATATTTTCTCCCTTTCCGAGAAGAATCCTTTTGTCAAAAAGCTTATTTGATTGAGCACATACTGGGTGACAATGCTTCGCTTGCACCCGTAATGCATGCTTATTAAAATTTCTTCATGCGCAAGAAACTTCTACTGTTAAGCTCTTCTTTACTCCCTTGCAAGGGTCGCCAAACGTGCTAGTTGATACACCGATACCGCAACTAGTCGACCCAACACCAGCCTGTAAAGTTTTAACAATAGTTATGGTAGGAAATGGTTTCGCTGCGACAGCAAAAATTTTCATACGGACAGGGAGCAAGATTGCACCTTGTGTGTAATGGAGCGTGCTTTAGCACTGCTGCCTGCCGCAAGTGCCAAGAGGATTTCCAAAAGATGTGGATGACATGATATGTATTTATTCTGAATTATATGATAAAATATCATTTTAAAATGTAATTTATAATCGATATTGATTTAAAAATAACTCTTTTTTTCAACGGTAATATTTAGTTAAAAAAAATGGGTAATCACGTACGCTGCAAATGTTTATTAGGAAAGAACTATCAGCCTGGTTGAAAATAAAATGAAATATGTAAGCTTATCCATACAATAAACACAAATTATACAAAGAAATCTCAGTCCTCGAAACTCCATATTTTGTCAAAAACATGCTACACGCGGTGATCCAAAATGCATATATAAATATATATATATATATATATTTTCACATACTCGTTCTTCTTTCAAACGAAAATTCTTTGGGCACGATGTTGATCGTATGGTGTACGGAATCGCGATCTTCACTAAAACTCGGCTCTTTTACATCTCTGTCGTCACCTCCTTGAACTTGGTCCATGTTAGGATTATGGGACGATGAACCATCGGCATAATTGTGGTACGAGACGGACGGAGAATCCGTCTCCGATTGCTCGATATCAAAACTCAATCTCCCTGGGGAAGCATTGATGCTGTCCGTTTCGTTCCGATATTGCCTCAAGAGGTGAGCCGGGGATGCGTGGTGAGATGGGGTGTTGGGTATGCTAGAAAAAGGGGTGGCCGTGACTGAACCCTTGTTGCTCTTGACGTGTTTCCTAGCCGTTTGGTGCCAATTCTTTAGGGCCGTGGCTACTCTTTCGTTAAATATGGTTGGTTTCATATGTGAACCCATCTGGTTTTAGCAAATTAATAAATCAATTATATTACGACATCAGTATCTAAAACGTTGAAAATACGGTTTATTTCTATAAAGGTAAAAAAAATATTTAAATTACCTGGGTAACGAGGGCGTAAAGGGGAAGGGTGACGTAACTGCAAAGAATTTGAACGACAACCCTGTTTTGAAAAAGAAATAAAGTTAGAAGCCCATTGGAGCAGTAATTCCAATAAGTTTCGCAGTCATCCATGACTGTAAATAAAATAATTTTTAACTTGTTTTACCCCATTGCAATGGAGATTACTAGATCTGCCACGTCATCGTGAAAGCAAGAACTTATCCCGAATTCATACTGTAAAGAAACGACGATTAGAACAAGAAATTTGATTAGGGAAATAATAATTATTTACGATAAAAATCAAACCCCAATTAATTAATTAAAATTATCAGCAGGAGAAAAAAAGGCGAGAAAATTAAAATTGTTACGTACGTACCCAAGTATATGCAAAGAATGCGAGCTGAAAGGCATTCTGCGGAAGAAGAAAAAAAGTAAAATGTAAACAGAGGTTAAATTTGGGAGTCGAAACGTTATTTAATGAAGAAGGGAATAATACCTGAAAGAGAACGAAGTTGATGAGAAGGAGGAGGAGTTTGGGCCGGTTGAACCAGAAAAGATCGTCGCCCGGTTCAACGACCGGCACTCCTCGAACCACTTCTCCTCTCTCCTGAATCCGTAGAGCCATTTTAGTTATTATCACCTGCAGCTTCGTCCCCACTAACAGGATCACCTGCAGCATTTTCACCAAATCACAACCGTTGATCTCAAACATCACACAACTTCAATGGGAAAAGGTTATAGTATTTGCTTACAATCAAGGGGATGAATGGCAGCCACAGATAAGAGTACCATCCTGCACCGTAAAATTAATTCAATTATCTTCCTCTATTTTTAAATTACAATTTTTTTTTGAATTAATCACTTATATCTGATCTATTGATCGATTAATTCAGATAGGATACTGCAGAGGCGAAGGCGACTAACTCTCCTAACCCAGTTTACTTCATTCGCAAACGTCAGTATTCGAACCTCTAACCTTGCTTAATATTCTAATTTCTCATCCCAATATATATACACACTTACCGTGGGGGTTGAAGAGTAGGAAGAGTACAGCACAAAACCATATCAGAGGACTGGAAAAATAGGTTGAAAATTGCGTTAGACTAAAATTTAGGGATTTTACAGAAATTTTATGTTTTAAAAACTAAAAAAAAGGGTAAGGAATAACAATTACCTGATGCCAACAACAACACTGAAATCTTCTTCCAATGATCTCTTTATGTATTTCTGAAAATTAAAATTGTTTTGGCTTTGGGGAGGCAGGTGTGCCTGTTGATAAATAAATTTGAAGATTGCTTATAATTAATTATGTGGCTAAAAAAATTAAAACTGAAAATACTGGGATTAAAAAAACATGTGGAAATAATTTATATTTAAAAATTACCATGATGAATCCATGTCGAAGGGTTAAATAATCAACTTTAAGAACTGACCGAAAGAATTGTCTAAAGAAACAAACCTGTCAAAAAATATATTAAAATGTGAGTATATTCTTATAATTGTTTTCTAAACTATAGTTTGATTAACCAAAAATTTATGGGCTGCCTTAGTTATTTCCTAAAATACCCCCACATTATAATTTTCCATCCACAATATGCGACTGCGACAATGTTGCAACTTGCAATGTTAAAGTCAAAGAGGTTCTTTTCTGGGGAATTCTGTTGACCATAATTGGGCGACTGTGGCTGGCGGCCGTTATCAATAATTTTGGTCGTTTAAGACTTAATTTTCCCAAGTTTAATAAATGAAAACCGGTAGAAAAATATTTTAGGGTAAATTACACAAATGATTTCTCAATTATAAGGTACTACTTTATTAAGTAACACAACTATTAAAAGTTACAATGTGGTTCTCTAACTATAGAATGTTACTTTATTAAATCCATAAGCTATTAAAAGTTACAAAATGGTCATTCGACTATTCATTATGTTTCAAACTCATCATTTTCTGTTAAACAATTAACGGTTGCCTGAGTTGGACGTTAGCGTGACGACTGAGATATGATAATCAATTGAGATTATGGAACTAGATTTTATTAAATCACAGTCACCAAATTAACGTTCAATTCAGAATATTGTCAATTTTTTAACGAAAAAAGACGAGTTTAGAACATAATGAATAATCGAGTGACCGTTTGGTAACTTTTAATAGTTGATAGACTCAACAAAGCATCACTCTATAGTCAGAGGATCATTTTGTAACTAATAGTCGAATGACGTAATAAAACAATACCATACGGCCGGGGAGCATTTATGTATTTTACTCAATATTTTACTTTAATAAGAAAACATAAAATCGTAATCGTAGAGTCGCACATTATTTACCAAAAGGGGTAAAAGATTGAAATAATAAAAGTGCTTACAATCCACATTAGAATAGGTATTTTGGTCCAAGAGCTCATGTGCCTCCTTCCAAATGATGTTTCCCTTGCAAATCTGAATCGTTCCGGATCTGTTCAATAACTCGGTTATTTTCATTAAAATGTCGCATTAATTAATGTTTCTATGTACTAAAATGCATGCATGGACGACGTGTTAAGTAAATGTATTTAAGTTTAACTTGAACATGATTTGTATTAACCATGTGTGTACTGGTATTCGATAGTTTGAGTTTCCTTTTCCCATCTCTTCCACCTACTCATCTACAAGTAAAAACAAAAACATTAAAAAAATTATATACATATACATGTACCATATAAATCATTACCATCGAAATTAGGAAGATAAAACTAACAGGCTGATTCAAGTGGTAAGCAACTTGAAGCAAGATAAAAAATCTCTTATGGTAGATTCACCCATCAAAACCAAGTGTACGATGCAAGTCGATCCGAATTAGTTAAGACGAAACCTTGAATCCGGAAAGATAAAAAAGAAAAAGGAAATAACATGAGAATAATACCTTAGCTCTGCCCAATCCGAGTGTAAGAACACAGTAAATCACGTGGACGACGGCTAGCACGAAGATGAAGTAATGGAGTTGGTCAATAGCATCGTATGAAATAAACGGCACTTTACCCTGCAATGTAAATAACACTCAAAATTGAAGAAAAACATGTTCATTTATAATAAAAAAAAATTAGAATATTCACGTGCTAATTTTAATGCATAAATTTATAATCCCATAAAAGTAGTTTACCAACTTTTGATAATTAATCCACACAAATTAAAAAAAAAAGTAAAATGGAATTAAATTTAACGTTGAAAATAAAAAGAATAAAGAGAATCTCAGCAAGAAATATGCGTGCTTTTCACCCCCATAAATATTAATGATCAAATCATGCTTATCTTTGAATACATTGGTCAATTTACGTAAGCTGGCGCAGAAAGAGACTCTTCTGATCTTCTCGGCTTCAGGGAAATGTAATTGAAGGAGAAGTAAGGGATATGTGTTGCATACCTGATCAGCGCATTTGTCCTCTGAGCTTCCGGCCAATGACCGCCGGAAAACTCGACCGGAATCAGACATCATAAGAAGTCTCCGTCGATGTTCGTTCTCCGATGAATCTTCAGCCGGCTCATCCAAGTTTTCTTCTTGATTCTTAGGGCATGGATTCCAAGTGGATCCAAGTCGCTCCGATATGCATATGCCTGTTATCGTTCCTGATCCTACTGTTAGGAGCAACGATATAAATCCCAGCAACATAAGCTCTGTCACCCAAACCAAAAAAAAAATGATCAGCAAAGCAATAACGAATGATGGTTTAATGTTTGTTTGAAGTTTCTTTTCTTTTACCTGACTTAACCTTTTCCAGAGCATCATAAAGCGCTCGTTTATGTTTCTTCTTCAACCACTGCAAACGAAGACAAATGATTAAAATTAAAACACCAGCTGAGAATAAGCTTTTAAAAAAGCAAAACACAGATGATACCTTTCCTATCATGTGGATTATATGTTCGATGATTATCGAAATGACAACCAAAACAAAACAAACAACCGCGACGGCCCATGTCGGTGTTTCTTCCAATGATCTTGAAGGTGTTTCGCCTTCTGTCGACATGTTTTTTTTTTTTTTGCTTTTATTTTCCCACCAACTTCAAATCTTTCGAAACCCCCACCCTTTTTTTCCCCTGGAAATCGGAACCAAAGTTGTTCGGATGTTACCTAGATTGAGTAAATTGTTTCTTTGGTAAAAGATATTTATAGTTAGTTAGTCCTGGAAAGAGATAGCAAAGTTATAATATAATACAAATGTCAATACTATATAAAATGGCTTAAGCTTTGAACATGATACCGAAGGGTTTGTAATGAGTTTGACGTTTTATTTGTTTTCGTTATTTAGAAAAGGAAATCAAATAAAAAAACGGAGGAGGAGAAGAAATCAAACGAAGTTTGCAGAAGAAAGATAGGTACAAGGGACAAGTTGGTTGACTTTGACTTGCAGACACGTCAGCATAAACACGGTGTGTGAATAATCAGAAGAAGAAAAGGGACCAGAATAGAAAGAAACCAAAGCAAATAACCGATCCAGTTCAAACCAACAGAATTCTTTGACCACTTTTTTTTATTATTATTATTAATACGGTGAGTATAAGATAGTATATGTTTATAAATAACTCTTAAAATTTCGACGTTGAACGCTCATACCCTTATCATTTGTGATGCTCGAACTCAAATCCTTAAGGAATAATAATAATTCATTTATCATATAGACCGCTTGATACGTGCAATTATTTGACCACTTTGAATACATTGTTTTATTACTTTATACTACTACTCAGGATGAACCGATCGGTCTCTTAATTTTTTTTTTAAGTATTTTTATATTATATATTTTTTTTATAATTTATAAGGTAAAAAGATACCTGGAACCCGTATACTTTTCTAAAAAAATAATGTAACCTTCAAACTTTATTGTATTAACGTGGTCCTCGAATTTAGAAAAAGAATCAAATGTAAATCTTTGGCCAACGGTTTCCGTCATTGATCGTTACGATGTTGACGTGATAGTCAGGGATGGACGCAGAATTTTATGTTGGGGATGAATTAAAATTCTATGGGCGAAATAGATTTTCAATAGGAAATACATATAATTTTTTTTAAAATATATGATAGTTTTAAATTTTTAGGGGGGCAACTGCCCCACTCCTCTCCTCGATTCATCCCTAGTGATAGTCCACCGTGATTGGTGACATGACTGATGCCATAGATTTTTTTTTTATAAATATGTTATTTTTTAAAATTTCATAAATTCATTTTCTTTCAAAAATTTATAATTTTTAACATAAAGTTATACAGTTGTACCTATTAAATATCATTCTCACAATACTCTCTTTATATTATTTGAAAGAGGGGGGAAACTACTATTTGACACGCTTTTTTCCCAAAACCGAAAATTGGAAAATAATTATTGAATAATTATAGCTTATTATAATTATGTATCAAGACTTAAAGGCCGCCCAAAATAGAAGCAAGATAATTAAATTGTTTTCTACGTGCATGTGGACTCAAGGTACGTAGGTCGATTAAAATGAATAAAATAATTAAAACAAAACAAAAATACTTAAGACCTTCACATTAATAGTTAATCATTGAAAACTCTATCTAAAATATTCAAAATTTAACATTCTAATACGTTAAAATGTATTTTTAAAAACTGAAAATATCCTGCTAACAATATAATATTTTATGAATTGTTTTTTTTCGATAAAATGTTTTATTTCTAAAAAAAAAGAAAAGAAAATATCTTCACATTTTCATACCTAGTTCATGGAAGAGTTATGTTTAGACATCATAATATAATCGTATGGGAATTTAATTATTACTTTAACTTGCAGTCATAATAGGTTGATGACAAGTATGAATGGTTTTGCGATGATTAAATTAATATCTAATTTAATTGTGTTTATTAAGCTAATTATAGGCGTGCTTCACATCTGCAAGTTGCGAGTGAGTAAACCGATTGAATTTATCAAACAAATCTCTAGTTTAACATTATTCTGAGATGAGTTACTAGTGAAGGCTTGTATTGAAAGATGTATCCGGAAATGAATTAATTAAAATTTCGTCATTCATATGATTAATATTACTTTATGTTGGTAATAATATAGATTGACCGTTAAATTTTGTTTTTAACCACCGAAAGAACATTCTAATTGATTTTGTCCTTCTAGAATTGGGCTTAGACCAGGGTGACGAACAGCCATGTCCACTTTGGGTTAATCGTCTCATTGTAGGGATTGCAACGACTGATTATAAACCCATTTAAGTGCCCCGATCGTAACGGTAATTATAAATCACGTATAAGTGACACATGTCACAATCTTAAAATTTTACTCAAAGACCTTTCTTCCCCCATGTACCCCCACATTTTCCCTCCCTTTTCCCTTCTTCCATGGTAAAAGGTCAAACGACTTATTAAATGATCGATCAAATGGTCGGCGAAACGGTCGATTATCAAGATCGAATTTAAAAGATTGAGTGTTTTTATATTAAGAATTATAATTTTAAATTTAGGGATTTGAGATGATAGTAAGAGTTGTGACCGGACATTAGATGGTCTGCAACATATAGGTGGCTGGTCACCGATGAATGGGTGGCCGGAAATGACCGACGGTTTGAATAAATGGGACTAGAAATAAGAAATCTTAAGAGTGTGAGGTTTTTTTTGATATTTTTGAAAAAATTGGGGCTTTTTGAAAATAAATTATTTATAGTTTTTTTAAATAAAATTTTAAAATTACCTGATTATGACATGTGTCACATAACGGGAAAATTAACGCCGTTGACAGCTTGAATGTAACGTTTGTAACGCTAAACATTGAGATGAATAAAAAAATAGTTTAAACACCTATTTGAGATTTTGGGTATAGTTTCGGCACTTAATTTGGTATTAAACCAAAATAAAATAGAGAAGTATATTATTATAATTATCTTTAAAATTTACGAAATTATAAATGTGTAAAATAAATAGTTAATAAAAATATTAAAAAATACATAAAATTTAAAATTTCCAGTAACATAATAATTAGATTATTTAATTATTACAACGTAAGAGTGAAATATGAGGTTTTCAAATTTAAATTTGACAATATTCCAAAATTTGATTGTTAATTTTTATCTACTTTGATTTTAGTCATTTAAATCCCATTCTTATTTCCCATTCTTATTCCCCAGAAACTAGTAAAAACCATGGAAGCCGCCGGCAACCAAGACAGGGCGTCGCCTCCGTCGAAGCCTTCAAAGTTCTCAGTGTACCAAAACCCAACCCTATCCGCCGCTTTAACCGCCACAAGTCTACAGCCCTCCAAATCAACTATTCTTTGCATCTTCTTCCTCTCCTCCGCCTCTGCTTTGGCTCTCCTCTACATAACTTCCAGGTTCTTTTATTTTCGGTCCTTTCGGGTTTTTTTTGTGTGTGTGCGTGTGTGTTTTCTCTTCCATCCAGAAAATGCAGCGGTTCCGAGCATTTCTAAGCTGAATATACACACATTGTCGAACATATGGTTTTTTAGGGGTTTAGCAGGGTTTAAGCAAATGGGTACTCTTTTTTCAGACATTTAAACTCTCGATCTTGGGTTGTTCTGATGAAATGCATGAATATACCTTTTTTGTAATGTACTTTTATCAATAATTCCGGGAGTTTAAGATGTTTTTGTTAGTAGATTACAAGGCATAGGCCAAATCCTTCATTCTCCTACTTAACTACCCAAAGAAAGTTCAGATTGCAGGATATTTATATCGTGTTTACAAAAGAGAATGAGAAAAGATGATTGAGTTGATTTACTGGTACAAGTATAGAGATTAACAATTTTGAGGTTTCTGTCTTTCTTAGCTTTCATAGGGAAAGAACCACTGAACCAACTTTAAATATGCTACCCTAGGAGAAAAAGAAAATCTTCAGATTATAATTTTTTTCTCTACTTTTGTTTTGATTATTATTTTCTTTAAATCCATTAACACATTTTTGTCTCACACCTGTGAAGGGGAACTGGCTTGGCTGATAAATTGAAGATTGGAAATTTCTCTGAAGAAGTATCTTGTAAGTTATCATTTGGAGATTGGATTCCTTTGATTGTTGAAGTATAAGTGTTCTATTTCATGTCTTCTCATTTAACTGTTATCTATGGCTCAGATACATTTGCCAAGGGAATACAGACTGTGTCAGGGGTAGTTTTCATTGGCACCATTTTTGCCCTATTCAAAGCTCTCTCTCTGCATAGGACTAGGAGTATTGGTTGTGTGCCTGTTGTATCTCCTTCTAAAGCAGCTAAGGATCAATCTCAGCCAACGAAGCACCAACTGGGGCTTTTGGGAATAAAACCTAAGGTTGAGCAAGTTGCACCGGACTCATCTAAGAAACCTCCGAAGTCCAAACCCCCACTGAAATCATCTTCAGATGTTCTTGTTCCACTCCATCCACAAATTAATGGCTCAGATCGGAAGTCTCTGGTCAACTCTAATAAATCAAACACCAGTGGTGGGAATAAGATGAATTCATTTGCTTCCCCATCCAGATCGGGGGGCTCTCCTTTGTCATATCATGTTCCAGCATCCTCTTCTGCATTATCTCCTCTTCAAACTTCACCAGGACAGGAGCCTGTGGTAAAAACCCCTTGGTCTACCAAGCGAGCTTCCTATACCAAAGAAATAACAACAAAAGAGCAACTTGAGCGATTTCTTGCTGAAGTAGACGAGAAAATCACTGAATCAGCTGGAAAACTTGCCACCCCACCCTCAACCATCAGTGGATTTGGAATTGCAAGTCCTAATACTGTCGCAAGTTCGGCTAATACATCTGGAACTACAAGGAGTACACCACTGAGGCCTGTGAGGATGTCTCCTGGTTCCCAGAAATTTACCACTCCTCCAAAGAAAGGAGAGGGAGACCTTCCACCTCCAATGTCCATAGAAGAGTCTATTGAAGCTTTTGAGCATTTGGGCATCTATCCCCTAATTGAGCTGTGGCGTGATCGTCTCAGACAGTGGTTTTCTTCAGTTTTGCTAAATCCTCTACTTAACAAGATTGAAACCAGTCATATTCAGGTCCTTCAATTCCCTAATTTTTGCCATTACTTCCTTTTCTTTTTTTCCCCAACTCTCACCCCGCTCATGTTATGTAGTGTCTATTAATAAT